ATATTTAGCATCATCAGCCATTCAATGTAAAGGGTGGACAAGTTTGTCGACGCATTGTGTATGTTACGGGCACTGACTTAGTATCATTGGCCCTGATTCTCCACTTTCTGAACCAGTATTCGATACTATTCAGACTTCTTTGGAGTATCTGTGAGGCCGTAGTTCGGTTTTGGTGGGATGCTAGAACAATGCTGTCATCAGCAAATGTGGCTATAGTGGCGTACTGGGGAGTTGGTAGATCAGCCGTGAAGATCAAATAGAGTAAGGGTTCAGAAACACTTCCCTGCGGGACACCAGAGAGGATGCATAATTGCCCTCTAAAGGAAACTAAAAGTGAGATCTCTCAAATGACAGAATTTCTCTTGATTGGATTTTCAATGATTGATTTTTTTTAATTTTGTTGTATTTGTTGCATTTCTTTAGCTAATGTTTGATAATTACAAAAATATTCAATCTCGTTTAATTAATTTGTATCTGCGTTTTAATATTGGTATATTCCAACAACACGTCCTTGGGGAATTCCAGAAGTTGTATATAGGATATGAAGTTTGAAGACTTTTTGTTTTGTATTTTTTAAAAGCCACTTACAGTTTTCATGAATAATGAAATCATGTGTGTCTATTCACGTAACTAATATGAGCGATAAGTTACAAATATATTTTTTTGATTCTATTGTAGTCATTTCAATTATAACAGCTGTAATATAGAAACAAAGGTTTATGACGTTTAAACTACTTGTCGCTTGCGTTAATATACATAAATATCCTGGATAGTATATTTCTTGTAAATAAATTGTTACGGTTAGCATCGTAACACTCGACACGACCATCAACATGAAAAACATGGAGGTTATTAAACTGGAACAAGATAGGTGTGGACGTATACGTACATGTATATTTGTACGTGTGTCTGTGGATTTGCATGAATTTCATTGCGCAAATAATAATGAAGATAATAACGATGATCATAATTCCCTTTCCGGGTTCTGCGTTGTGTGTGCATATTAAAGGAAGCAAACAGGAGCAGAGTAACGTAGGCTATGTGTGATCTAAATAGAAACGGACGAATTCCGTTACCATTCCAGCACTAACACCCCTGCATCGAGATCGTGCACAAACCCGGAAATACGCAAATACCGACCCGGCTCCTCCACCACTAATACATGAAATATTAATGTTCAAAACGTGCCTTTCAGTATTAAAAAAAACTGTTCGTCAGGTTATTTGATATTATTAATCCCACAACTGTTAACAAAACTGAATTCAAGTTAATAGATAATAATCAGATTCGATCCTATTAGCTTATTATTTTTATCAAAGTTTAATTCATATCTTCTATCAAAAGTTTGCTAAGTTGGCATTAATGCATTTTTTTCTGAAAAACAAAAGGTGTTTCTCAAGGCACTTTTTCGTTTTGCCGAATATTTCTTGGAAAATTTTGAAAATTGAGATTTTAGCACTTACAGTCAAATCGTAACAAGTAATGAATCTTGATTCTATAAGTTTGACCTGGAAACCATGCAGCAGTCCATGGTATGGAGCGCAGAAGGTGCTAATAGTGATGATGTCTATTTCCTCTGCCAGGGTAAAAGTGGTGCTATCTCACTAGAAACTAGTCAGAGGGTAACTGCTAAGTAGTACACATAAACTTGCGTAACATAAGTTTTCAAAAATTTTGTTGGGAAACCAGAAAAAAGGGGAACTTCATCGCTACTTTTTACATTACGATCATGCGCCCAATCACACAACTAAAATATATAACAACTTTTTTGCGCTCTCTGGCATCTGGCATTCGCCCAGTATCTTATTCCACCTAGAGCCTTGTGATTTCTGACTGTTTTCGAAAATAAAGAAAATTGAAGTAAAAAGTTGAAGAGCTCTAAAAAGCCGCTTTTAAGGAATTTTTTAATGTTTAAGAAATGTATTGAAATACATAGAAAGTATGAGGAGAAATTACAAAAAAATGAAAATTAAATATATTAAATTGTTTTTATTGTGTTTTTTTCAGCCAATTTAGCGAACTTTTGTTAAACCCCACGTACAACAAGTTGATGATCTATTTAAATTCATAATTGCTTCTTAATTTAATTTTGATCAATTATTTTTTGTCATGTGTTTTAAACTTAAAAAAAAAGTAGAACATAGAACATCATATCTATTTTAATTTGTAATTTCTCAATGATTTTCTAATAAAATAATTCATGTTATACTTTAATTAATGTTTTACAATTGAAAAAAAAAGCAGAAGGCATGGAGGATGTGTATAAAACATAAAAAAAATATAATTCCATTTTTACTATGTAGTTGAATACAAAATGAACTTATAAAATTTTAATTATTTATATAAATAAAATGATTATTCGGAAAGTCCGTTAAACCTATTCTTAACGTTCAATTACTATTGTCAGTGAAATGTCACAACGAATAAATTGTATATTGAAATTATATTTATAGATGTATATATTTTTAAATTTGATACTGAAATGCAAAATAATCACTAGTATGAAATAATAAATTTTAACAAACTCACGATCAAATAAATTAATAACGCAAGTTTCAGTTGATTTTCTACTATTGTTGAGTGCTTAATTTTCTATAGAATTGTTTTTTTAACGTTTGGAGCATGAATAGTGGACGGTAAATGTTAGGGAAAAATCGATCATTTACAGGCAATACAATTAAGTCCATTAATGAACATTGGTGGTTTCCTGATGCAAACGTTGCAAAATGGAATTAATCATTTTCGATGTATTGTACAGTTACAGGTACAATAAACTTAATAAATTGAAACAATGTAACACAAGTTTCTTGTTTGGTCAACAGTCTGCCATGATTCTGAATAAATGGAATTATATTGGGTTGGCAACAAAGTAATTGCCGATTTTAAATTTGGATGGGAGAGGTGTTCGTTTTGAATGACTTCTGTCAAGATTAAAATTATATAGTTTTGGCATTTGTCAGCTGTGAACTTTAGCTTTCTTAAAAACCAAATTAAGTGTATTTCTTGTGAGATTTCACAGTTCAATTTTAACATGAAGAACAAAAGCGTTTATTTTTATCATATCTTGCTATATTATTTCCGAAAAGGAAAGAACACAACACAAGCTTCTAAAAAGTTAAACGATGTGTATGGTGATGAACCTCTAAAAGTAAGACAGTATCGGAATTGGTTTGATAAATTTTGTTCTGGTGGTTTTTCACTCAAAAATGAACTGCGATCTGTTAATGAAAAATGGATAGTATATCGAAAGAAAACGCTTATGGTCTAAAGAAAATGTACTAGCACAAACAACATCGAAAGCTGAAATGCACCAAAAGAAAATTATGTCGTTAGTTTGATAAGATTACGAAGGTATTGTGTATTTTTAGCTGCTTCTTAGGAACCAAACGATTAATTCAGATGTGTATGATCGCTAATTGAAGTTATGTTTCATCCGCCTTATGGCCCTGACTTATCGCCATCAGATTACCATTTGTTCAGAACATTTTTTACTAATAAAGACCAGAAGTTCTATGAGCGTGGGATAATGAAGATGGAATGGAAGACGGAAAGATGGCATTAGGCCATTGATCAAAATGCAAAATACATTATTGAATAAGATTTAATAATTATAAAAGATCATGATTCATTTTTATAAGAAAATTGTTAATTATATTGGATATATATTGTTTAATGATTTGGACAAGAAAGTAATTGAGCATTTCAAAAATAGATGTTGTTTTTCAAAGCCTTCCGTCAATATTATGATTTTTTTTCCCTTTGACGTCACTTTTGGCTTATTTTAGAAGCAAATTGAACGTAATTTTGTATGTATCTGCTGATGTACATAAAGATATGTGAAAGAGATTATTGTGTTAATTGAAGAATTTGTTTGAACGTTCAACCTACTGATGTTGATGAAGACCAATAAATAAATCGGATCCTCATATAATTGTGCGAGAGATTGTAGGGAGGTTGAATGTATCACAATACAACTCAAAATCATCTATAATGTTTTAAGTTTATTCGAAATTATATAACTTACCCAGAAATATACAAAACGTAAAATCGTCATGTAAAATAGTTTACTAATAAGGAATTTTATTACAATAGTAAAATTATTAGCTATTTAATTACAACAATAAAGAAAACAAGAAAATCCATGTGTGCCAATAATGTAGTGTTTAAATATTTAATTGTACAATATTCAAAGTGCAATTTAAGCTGAGCAGCACTTTGAATAGAACGATCCAATTAAATGGGAAAACATGCGAAACACTATCTGTGTGTTGTTATTAGAGTTGTCGAAATATGTTGCCCCGCTCTCGCGTATTCCAATGAGGCAAAGTAAACCCTCGAAAATTGCATATTGATTTTGTGTCGAGGGTGTAAATATCAATTTTTGCTGGAGAATTTCTCTTCCTTCTTCTTCATCTTCTACGGGTCTTCGGCAAAAATCCTCTTTAAAAAAAAATGCAATGCAGTCGAGTTAGCGCTTAGAAACGAAGAGCCACTATACAAACAGTAATTTGGAGGAAATAATATTTTGCCAAACTGTGATATTACTTTCCAATTTCTGATATGGAAAGTGGATTCGAGGAAAGGAGATTATAAAAAAAGGAGGTAAATAAGAAAAAACAACTTTTGATGTTAATGTTAATGAATTGGCTCATCTCGGACCCAAATTGATCAATCAAATTGCTCTATATATTAATGTAATATTCTCGCTGCTTGGAGAACAATGGTTCTTGGCTCGGACACGGTTTTTGTTATCTGGCCATTGTTTCAGCTCCAGTTGAGCCTGAAATTTCCGATGTTTATACGTACATAAAATACGAATGACATTCTATTCACGCCTCATCGGGTACAACCCAGCTCGATCGACTCTAAAAGAGAGAAATAACTCTAAAAGAGGATATACATAAATAAATATATAAATACAATACATAATTCTATTGAATTATTACGTCCAAACACTGCTACTTTCTTGCTTCTATGTTTCACGTCTTCTTTTCTTCCAGGACATTGATTACGAAGCTTTCCGCCTTTTCCTCGACACCTTCCTGGAAGTTCACACGCCCGAAGAGCTCACGCGACATTTATTTCTGTCGTTCGTCAAATGCGGACCGATCAAAGTGGAAGGCAAAGCCTTTAAGGAAATGGCAGTCATGAGCTCTTCCACGGCTTGCGCACCGATCACATCACACAACAAAGGAAGGACTGGTAAGTTCCAACATTATTATCCACGTTCTTTCTTCATGGTCATCACCATTTCTTTTTTATCTTTTTTTTTTGTAATACTAAATAATCCACTAACATTTCAGTGGAAAATCTAACTAATATAGAATTTTTTTTCGTATGAAGTCTTTTTTACAATAATTTTATTTAATTTAACTTTATTTTAGCTTGGAATTGATTCCAATTTTCTAGTAATTTATAGTCGAATTTTGATTATTATATTATCTTTTATTTGTGATAAAAAAATCTTAATTTTGGTATTTGTAACTTGTTTTTAAGATTTTTTTTCACGTTACAATTTAATTTAAGCAAAAGATATAGTTTACACAAATATGTGCTAATTGGTAGGAAAATTCCTTAATAAAATTATAATTTAAAGAAATTATTCAATATTTGATAATACTTTGTTTTACTGATGAAGGTATTTTAATTTATGTAAATAAAATATTTAGTATATCACTTTGAAAGTCCAATAATTGCATCTCAACACCTTCAAGAAGAGCTTAATCTGCTCGCGATATGGTTCAGGAAATGGCGAATTGGTATAAACCAGTCGAAATCGGTGCATGTTACTGTTCTCCAGTGAAACTCAATAACGAAGTAGTTCCAGCATCTTTAAAGGTGAGATACTTGGGAATGCATCCGGACACGAGAATGATTTGAAAGGATCATATTCAGGCAAAGCGTGAACAACTAGAAATAAAGTCATATAAAAACCAGTTTGTACATAAGGTATCCAAATATGGGGAACAGCAAGTTCAACTAATATTAAGAGAATCCAAGTATTCCAATATAAATGCCAAAGATTTCTCCAAAAAATACACGAATAGACTTGATTCTCATACAAACAAGTTTGCGGTCACCGACAATAGCGTGACAACAAGACTATTAAAGCGCTTTAAGCCCTTGGATCTTGAATTTAAATTTAAGTAAAGTATAAATAAATCAATATTATATACACACGTCATGAAATGGTGCCTTTGGGCAGCAACTTCCTAATGTCAACAGCGAACAGATTTGATAAACGTTCAGTAAAATAGATTGTAAATAAAAACTAACAAAAAAATGTATGTCACTTACATAATTTTCTTTCACTTATTATAAAATATTTATTGCCATTAAATATAACAATTGACGCATAAACTTTTATAGTAGCATAAATAAATAATTTAATAAAACAGTTTATTTAATAAACACATCTAATGGGCAAAGTAACGAGCATAATTAAGATATAAAAAAACATGCAAAGGTGAAAACAGTGTTCTGTATGCAAAAGGGTATTTGCATTTCCTAGTTACTTAATAAAAGCTGCCATTATCAGGCCACGGAAAAATATAATTGTGAAAGAAATTATGCGGGTTTACGTGTTTGTGCACGTTATAGATAAAAATACACAAAGAAAAAATAAACTACCAAATTTCGTATGCAAATTCGAATCGCGTTCACACGGAACGTATATAAATTAATTTTGGTCACGGCATCGGTGACCAAGCACAGCACTATCTCGGATACACCTGATGACCTAAGGGGGTTTGCTTTACACATGCATTTTTCATGCCATTTTTTTTTGTACGTTGGTGTGTGTGTATTTATTTACGTTTATGGGATATGCCTTATCTGGGAATAATATTTACTTTACAATTGTTACTGATTTAATAGATTAACGTTACATAACACGATTTTCCTTTGCATTGCTTCCAAATACAAAAACGCTTTATGACTCTACTAGGGGCATTTGCTGCAGCAAAGAAATAAATGTTATTCTAGGTCTTCTGGGGTTTATGGAAAATTTACCATGACTATTTTTGTTATGTTAATTTATTAGGGGGTTTCTATTACTACTAGCTAATGCTCATTAAGTTATTTGGTCTTAAAGAAATCTAACAGTTCCAAGTTTCCTAAGATTAACAATCACCAAAATCAAATACAGTAGAACCTGTTTTTGTGCGATATTTTCAAATCCATCAAATTCCACAAGTCCCTATCCACCGCAAGAAAAAAAGTTTATGTAATGAATTATACAAAGATATTTGTTATATATAAGAATTTATGAAAATTTCGAATATTTTTTTGTGCGATTTTTTTATAAGATCCCTATCTACCGCACAAAAACAGACTTCACTCTAGATCAATGATTCCCAAAGTGGTCTATATGGACCCTCAGGGGTCTTGAAAATGGGGGTCCACGATAGTGGATCTCAACATACACTGATAGTACCTATTTAAAAAACAACATACCCGTTACTTATCCCATATTATGGAATATAGCGAGGAAATTTTTAATTTCCTTTCCATCGTCATACCTAACGAATAAAAGAAACAGACTGGACATCATTAGCCTAGGTGTTTTAAGATTAAACCTTAGAAAATTGACGCCAATTGTTCATAATTTATTATTAAAGCATCAGGTTTTCATCCTTCTCACTAAAAACATTTACTTATTGCTGAGTTTATTTTATGTTTATTTTATATTACGTATATTTTATATAACAGATACATTTTTTTATTTAAATTCAATTAATAAATGTATAAAACTTAACATGTGTTTTTACTTTAAGTTTAAGTTAGAAATTTACAAAAAATCAATATCAGGTAAGTAGGGGGTCTACCCAAAACCGAAAAACATGGCAAGGGGTCTACGACACAAAAAAGTTTGGGAAAACTATAAGGGCTATTAATAGCCGAATGATTAAGTTGCCCTACCCACGATTGAACCGGCGCCGGTTCGAATCCTGGTCAAGCCAGGCCCTTTGTGACCCCTCTCGGCGTCTGCAGCAATAGGGCCATCGTTCATAGATGGACAGTCCGATGAATGAAGTTCATCATATGGACTTTCAGCCAAGTCGATGGACAATGACAGTGTTAAGAATAGCAGCAGATTCACAGTCAAAGGAAATATTGGAGTCGCAGAGCATCAATATACTAAATACAATATACAAATTAAAATCAAATCATCATAATGGTAACTATCTACCGGGAAAGATTATACATTTAATGTCAACCGCGATCTTAAATTTACTCAATGTTCACATTGATGAACAGATTGTGAATAAAATTATACGTCATAAAAAAATAAAAACTGTATATACTATTAAAACTGTATATACCAAATACATAAATAATAAAACAAATATAGCAAGATTCTTTTAAGTGAAAGAAAATTTGTAATGCGACTCAGGTAATTATTTTTTATATTCAATGGAAAGAGAGCAGACAATAATCACGAATTTTTGACAAAATCATTTTTCTTGAGTAAATCTTGCTATTCTTAACCAAAAGAAGAATGTAAATAAAACTTTAACTAATAATTTATTGACAAATTGCATTTAATTTGTTATAAGCTTATTTTAAGAGAGTAATTACGGATTATCATTATGGAGAACCAGCAGCGTTATAACATTACCATTATACAAAGATTTCAGTCGAAGAGCCTAAGAAGTATTACATGACAAAAGTAGAGAATTCTCTTTTGAAAACACTAGCCGGTACCAAAACTGGCTAGAAAGACAGTCCCAGAAGTATCCGACCTCACATATAAATGACGTTTTTTTAACTACTATAATCAAAAGTATCAAACAGCCAAGACAAACATAACAGTGATCGAACAAATTACGTGACCACGCAAAAAAATGGTGAAGAAAATCTACAAAATAGTATTAGATAACCGTCGACTGAATTATTTTTTCTTTACAAACTTAAAAAGAATGGCTCAGTGGTAAAAGATTGACCAACAATAAAGAGGTGAAGTCTGCGGTTGCTGGTTATTTTGATGAACTCAACGGTTCCTAATATAAACTGGATATCGAAGCTGTGAAAAGTGTTTGATTTAAAAGAAGATTATGTTGAGATTTAAAAATATTTTTTCATTTTTTTTGTGTGTTAGATCAATTTTCTTGACTATACCTTATCAATCCAGCGACTGTGGCGATCTAGCCACTGGATCTACCAATTAGATTCGATAACGAATTTATATTTATGGAAGAATTTTCAAAATGCTTACTGAATATTTTATTATACCTTTTTTAAATAAAATATGAATAAAAACAAATATTCCACGAATTCTATTTTAACATAAAACCATATTTTTTCATTAAAAATAAATTAAATTTATTATTAGTTCAGAGTTCCAAATTACAATAAATTTACAATAAAATTACTATTTGATACCGGATTAATCGAGAGTCTAAATACATACAAAAAATGAAAAATCCGATTAATTATGTATACAAAAAATCAATAATTAAATTCATATTTAGTTTATTTTCAAATTTTTAAATCGGACTAAATTAAATTAGGGTATGTCGATTTTTCAAATCCGGTTTCTGAAAACCAGGTTTTTGATTTTTTTTTTATATAATTTGAAAACCGATTTTTTCAACTAAAAAATTAATTATTTTGATACAAAATCTTCTCTGACATAAAACGAGAATATTGTTAACAACAGTAAATCCGGAAAGAACAATAACTTTATAAAATATTGTAGAATAATCAATTCATAAATATCTTCAATAAGCTGAAAAAGTGACTTCGTCACTAAAGCAATACTTTTAGCATCAGGGTACAAACAGAAAAATTGATGGTCAAGAATTTCCATGAGAAATTTTTGAACACGATGAATAAATGCATTAAAATCAATAACATAAATAAATCAAGAGCCTTAAATGAGTGTATGTTTGGAATACTCTGTGCACAAATGGGAACTGAATATTAATCATTTTTGTTTTATTAGTTCGTTGGCTATGCCGAGATAAACATTTGGATAGATTGTTTGAGCTTCGCTACGAGCTACGTGAGTTTTTTTAAATCAAAATATGCCTCAACTATACCAGCATCTCGATGATGTGCATCTGAATGAACTTAATAAAAATAATTATTCACCCTTTTTACAATTTGCAATGACAAAATCATTTATCTTATTACAAATCTCTGAACATAGCTGTTTTGTGTTTGCAACGATTTATATTTCTTACACTTTTAACAATATT